TACAAGGCTGGGAGGTCAGATCCACCCAGATGCACCGTGGAAGAAAGGCCTGGTGCTCTGGTTCTCAAAACTCAGCTGTTGCAAGCTCTGCGATGCACATTTCTTCTTTAACAGACTGCGGGTGTGTGACTCAGAGTGGGCATTAGTTGGTTTGGGTCATTGCTGAAATGGTTATGCCTGTGAGCCCCTGGAGGACAGGCCTGTCCCTCTCTGTCCCTCTGTTGGCCCCTTACCTGGGCCACTGCAGGTCTGCCCCCTGGGATTCCAGTAAATTAATCTGATGGAGTCTCAGATGTCTTCCCTTCCTCCCAATCTGCCTCCTTGTCACCCTGGGCCCCCTCAGGTCCCGCCTGCTTCCTGTGTATTTTTGGCCTCTCTTCTGGTCTGCAGTGATTTTTATTCTTCATGGAGGTTTCAGCTGGCTGGACTTAATGAACACTGCACGATCTGGGCCCCCTGCAGCTTCCTGTCCCAGTTCAAGTTCATTACTGTGACTTACAGAGCAGTGGGGGGCAGCCAGAAGCAGTCTTTAGCAGGTTAGCTTCCTGTGCCTCTTGCTAACTGGATCATGATATTCAGAAGCCCAAGGAGGAAGCAAGATGCTGGAGAGGGATAGATTTCCCTCCCCCATCCTGCTGCTCCCTGTTGTTCAAGGCCCATTAAACCAAAGATGAGCTGGATAAGGATTGTGTGTTTGGAGTTGTGCCGCATTCCGTGAAAGATGGCAGGTCTGTGTGGGACAGGCCACTGGGGATGCGTGGACATCCATGTGCACCATTCGGTGGCCCTGTGGGTCTTTGGCAGCATCTTAACATGAGCCTGCAGAACTGGACAGGCCTCCTCTGCCAGTGGACTGTTCCCCTTCTCTGTTTTTTCTTTTTTGGTGGGAAATGTTCTTGTCTCCTCGGAGGGTCACGCATGGAGGACCCAGAGCTCTGGGATTAACTGCCAGCTGCAGGCAAAGAGGCAGTTAGGGCAAGGCTTCCTGGTTTTCCAGAATAGCACACGTAGGTTAAGTGTTTCAGCTACTAACCAGAAGGTTGTCGGTTCGGATCTACCTGGGGCACCTTTGAACAACGAGGTGGCACTGTGCTTCAAAAAGCTCAGCTGCTGAGGCCTGTGTGGGGCGGTTTCACGTGACACGCAGCGCCCTGTCAGGATGCCACTGATGACAGCCAGTTCCTCCTTAAATGTCCTGGCTCCGGGGTCTCAGGACGCCTGAGAGCTCCCTCACTCCTCACTTCCTGCTAAATCCATGACTGAAATGCCCAGGTAGGGAGCCGGACTATGACCTCCAACCCTGGAGGAGAAAATGTGAGCAGAAAGCCCGAGTGGGGTCCCTGTTCTGCAGTGCACTGACTGTCTGCCCTCAGTCCCATTAATCATAACTCCCCTCGCCTGGTTTTCTCGTCTGTATGCCCTGCTCTTACTACTGGATTGGAACAAGGCAAGGCAATGCCCGCAAAGCCCTCAGTTCCATCCCTCAGACATCCCTAATGCCGACGGTTGGCCCAGCTCACAGCGCTGCTGCCCTTTGGGGCTTGTCTGGTTGATTATTATAAAGAGCACATTCCTCCTTGGTGTTAGCGTCCACCTTCCAGGCCTGGCTGCTGTTTGGCTGCAAGCTGACCCGCAGGGGTGAGCTCATTCCGGGCTTGCAGGGTGTCTATGTGCCGCAGTGCTGGGGTTCCACTTCTTTACTTTGGGAGTAGATCGCCAGGCCTCCCTGTCAGGGACTCAGTGTAAAACACTCTCGCTTGGCTTCTGCCTACCTTGGTTTCCTCGGGCTGCAGGGTAGGAGTATGGGCGCTGAAATTCTAGGAACAGCAGGGATGACTGGGGTTTCCCCACCACCGTGTGTATGTGCTAGAGCAGTATCTGCGAAGAGGCCGCTTCCTCAGGCTCTGTCTAGATGGGCCCCCGGTTCTGCCGATAGGGCTGTGCATCAGAAGCCAGCTCTTGGCTTTGCTGCAGGCTGCTACGCGGACTTGAACATGAGACGGAAGAATGTCCTGAGAGGCAAGAGGGGTAAGGAAGCCGATGCTGCCCAGGCCTCTGCTCCAAGCCTGCCGGAGGCTCCTTTTCGTCAGTGACACTAAGAGAGAGAGAGAGTGTGTGTGTGACCAGTAAAGAAAGCCTCAGATCTCAAATATTCTCTCTGAAACAAAAAACAAAAATATAAACCAGTGGCATTTATTTAATGCATGAAGATCCTATTGTGTCAGCGTAGAACTGTGTGCCATCCAGTTTACAGAGGTTAATTTTGTGTGTGTGTGTGTGTGTGGTGTACCGTCAAATTGAATCTGACTGGTACAGGAGGAAATTGTCCCTCCTTCCTCGGCAGAGCATCTGGTGGATTTGAACTGTGCATCTCTGGGACTGCAGTGCAGCTTCTTGCCACTAGGCCACCAGAGCTCCCCTAGAGGTTAATTTTTTGAAATGTGAATCACCACACCTTTCTTCCAAGACACCTCTGGGTGGATTTGAACTTCCAGCCTTTGAAGGAGCAACTGAGTAACACACCTGGCAAGGGTGGGAACAGCACAGACTCTATTGGGGGATTTTTCCTACTACTGAGAAATATCTTTTATCAGCTCTTCTCTGTAAAATGCTTGTCTGTCAGATAATGTTCTAAATCTGAGCAATCAAATGAAGACAGACTAGGAAGAAGGATTGGCCATCCACTTTCAAAATAGCAGGCCTTTGAAAACCCTATGTACAGCAGAACACACTTAGACTATCAGATAGGGCAACTGAGGCTGAGCCCTCAAGTATGGAAACACATAGGAGGAGAAACAGCCATAAGCAGACGCTAGTGATTGGAACATGGAGTGTAAGAACAATGAATGTAGGAAAATTGGATATTGTTAACCATTTGCAGTCCTCATAAAATAACCTCTTCTGCAGAGAGTGAGGTGAGAGTAGGTGCTGCCCCAAGAATTAGGGCACCCCTCAGTTGGGGCAGAGACCAGAAGTAGCAGTTTGCCTTCCCCTGGAACCTAGAGACTGAAGAACAAGGCAGGCCGTTGCATGAGTGCCAGCGAGAAGTTTATTACGCAGACTGCCTTTCAGGGAGCGTCCTGGGCAGCGTCAGGCCCTGTTCACGTCTCTGCAGTCTGAGTGGAAGGCAGCGGATTTTGTGGTCCCAGTTAACAAGGTAATCACCCCACCAGAAGTTACATAAGAGTGATTGAGCAAGTGGAAGCAGCCTATCAGGAAGCCTGGTTCCCCATCACTTGGCAGTGCGCCTTCCGGCCAAGGACTGGGGATTATAAATGAGCTGCTCTGCCTGCGGCCAAAGTCGACTTCAGAAGCATCATGACTGCTCATCAGCTTCCGGCTGGCATCCTCAGGGACCGTGAACTTGGACTAGCCTGTCCCCCCCTCACTGCGCTGCCCAGCACCTGTGTGGGCTTCCAGACAGGCTGGTGGTCTCTCTCCAGCTCCTGCCGGAAGGGGGCGCTGTAGTCAGGGCGTGTTGAGTGGCTCCCAGCAGCCTCACCTGCAGAGGACTGAAGGCTTGCCTGACCTGCTTCAGCCTCACAGCTGCTCTTAACTCTTGTTGCTGCACCCCCTGATCGAGTCCATCTTGTTGAGGGGCTTCCTCTCCTTTCCTGAGCCTCCACCTTTCCAAGCGTGGTAGCCCCTTCCAATTCCTGGCCCCTCCTGATAACATACTTAAAATATGATTGAAGAAGTCTTGCCCTCCTCACCTCTAAGCGCCCTGGTTGCACTTCTCTAAGACTTTATTATTCCTCCAGGCTCTATTGTTTTGTTAATGACAGTCCGTGGTATATTCAGCATTCTTCGCCAACCCACAGTTCAAAGGCGCTCGTTCTTCTTCACATGTGTATGAAGCAGGCAGATCCACCTGATGCGGGTCAGACTCCCGTGGGTCTTTAACACTTGCCATTCAGCGCTGTGAAGAGGACGCTTCTTGGCTGCAGCTTTGCCCACTGCAGTACTTGGTTTGAGTTTTTGACGGCGGCTGACAGACAAGGCAATAATTCACGGTTACTTGGATTGACACACTTGTGATTAACCACCCGCTGCTGTCAAGATGATTCTGACTCGGGGTGACCCCGTAGGACAGAGCAGACTCTCCCCTTGGGTGTCTGAGGCTGTAAATCTTTACCGAAGCAGAGTGTTTAGTTTTTCTCCTCTTTAGTGGCTGTTGGTTCCAAATTGCCAACTTTTCAATTAGCATTCCAATCCTTAATCCACAGTGCCACCAGGGCTGGGATTGTTGCCAGTGAGACTGAGATTTGGGATCTCTTTGTCTTCTTGAGTCATTCATTGCTGGTGAGTTAGAGCCTATGCATAGCTGACCCTCCAGCGAGTTTTCAGAGGCAGTAAATTTCACCAGAGGAGACTGCCCAGGTTTATCCCTCAGAGACGCGGGTGGCTTGGAACTGCTCACCTTTGGATTGGCAGCAGAACTCCCTACCAACAAGGCAGTTGCACCCTTAGAATGCAGACTGCCTCATCTTTCTCCCATGGTGGGGCTAGTGGATTCAAACCGCCAACACTTAGCCCACTGTGTCCGTCTTAAGAGCATTAATTATTCAAAGAGTTTTGCCATCATGCTCGCTAGAAGGCAGTGGGGACAGTGAGAAAGCTACAGCACTCACAGGGACATACCAGGTGCAGACTGCAGGGCCCAAGGGCTGGCTTTATGGCGGGTGACAAAGGTAAAGGATGTGGGGGAATAAAGCTGATGTTTCTGTCAGGAATATCCAGGCAGTGTGAAGGCCAGGAGGGGGAGTGGGTGTGAGGTGTGACCAGGTACAAGGAGGCATATGGATAGAAATGTTGGCATTGCTTAGGAAGATGGTCATTGCATGGGCTAATAGTCACCCAATATTTACAGTACTTCCAGTTTTCTAAACCAGCTTTCTTTATTTGCTGGGTTCCTGCCAGTGAGGGAAATACAGAGATACTGCATTAGGAGAAGTCCAGCTCAGTACTTGTCACATCCTGTTTTTCTCTTCTTCTTCCAGGGGACGGCCAGGTGGATTTCGACGAGTTCATGACCATTCTTGGCCCCAAGCTGGTGTCTTCAGAAGGTCGTGATGGTTTTCTTGGCAACACCATTGACAGTATATTCTGGCAGGTGGGTCCAAAGTCTTCTCACAATTATGTCTAATGAATGGTAAACTTGGCCTGACTCTGAGCTTCTCTTCCTCCTTGACTTGAGTATCTCCGTTGAGGTCCACGCTGGGGTCTCAGAACAAAGAATCAGAACTCTTTATCTGTCTAGCTCAGGTTTGGAGGTGTCCAATTTGTCTTCCTCCTACTCAAAATGTTGTTGTTATTTTTAAAATATCTGGTTTTGAATTTTGGAGAAATAAGATTCCTCCACTTTGATTCATAAAAGCCTTTATTTATTTATTTCTTCAGTGCAGAAGGCAGGCAGGATGAAAGGAAATGAGCATCTCAGGTAGGAGGTGGGAAGTTACATTGTTACAATGTGGCGATTGCCATTAAAGCCATATAACACAATGTGTATGTGTGGTGGGGTGGAATGCCAGCCTGCTCTATTCCACTCAAATCACAATTAAAATTTCAAGGAAGAGACCTGTTCCCAGGGGCATGCGGAAAGGGCACTTTGGTGAGGGCGAAGCCAGTTTTGTCTTGCATCAGTTTTCCATGAGTCCTTTGTTGAGAGGCCAGCATATCTGTTTAGCTCTGTCTGTCATCTTTAGTAGGAAAGGATGGTTTTATCAAGTAATTGATGTTCACTGCTTTTCACTTGTATTCCTATTTCTGTCTTGTACTACTTCTTAGGAAATTCCAAATATCCCTGTTTTCATTTCTCAAATGCTACAAAATAGGGGGGTTATTGATAAATAGGAGGTAATACTGATTTTCTCATCTTAAAAATGTAGATTATTTCTTTTTTTTTTTTTACAGTTTTATAACTTTATTTGACAATCAGCTATTAGTTTTCATCCACATTGATGGTCTGTAGATTTTTGAAAGTGGTGACAG